ATCACAAGCCACCTATGGTCAAAAGCCATGTTGATTAGCTTGGCAGAAAATATTGGGAAATTTGAATCTTGTGAAATTACCACCTCTTCAGCTAGAATGAGAGTGGAAGTTAATGGAGTGAAACCCCTAATCACCTCTTCAACGCTGGAGTTCTCCAATGGAGATGAAGTGGCGGCTGAGCTGGTTTATGAAAAATTGGAGGCACTGTACGGTCTGCCTCATGCTAGACCATGATGCAAAGGAGTGCCCGGAAGCCAAAGATACTAACCATCAGAGGAGCAGGGGAGTACGGCAAAACCAAAATGAGGCTCATAGAGATAAGGCACCTTTGAATACAAGGCATCAAAAAGCTCATAGACCCTCTAGGCCATCAATGGGTTCCACCAGAGACTATGGCTCTCTCTATACAAAAAATGAAGGAAGAAGTGGATCAAGAGAGGTGAAGAGGACTAACCCTGAGTATGACTGCCGGTACTCCCATAGACTGAATACAACTAGTTCCTTGAATCACACTACTGCCCATGAGTCCAACAGTCAGGGACTAAGGCAAAAAAAGAGACTTCATCAAAAACCCATGGGGGTTGAGAAGAGAAGGAGAGAATTACCAAGATCCATTTTATCTTCCCAGGAAAAGTCTGCTTCTTCGGTTAGAGGATACCCTGCTGACAGAAGAGATACATATGAGACTCTAACCGGTAACCTCTCTAGTGCAGCCATGATAATTATAATGGGAGACCTGAGGGAAGTGATTGTCCAATATTCTGGATGTGCAGACCCAACTGAGAGTGCTGCACGTAAAGAAAGATATAGATTAGCCGAGGCTGCAGGAGAAGTGGAGGACACTGCAATACAAATGGTAAGATCAGCTGTGGAACTTGCTGTGGCGGAGCAACATACCTATAATACTAAAGAAAAGACTCCCATCAGCCAGAGACTTGGATCATCTACCGCACCTATGAAATCTGGAGCAAGCCAAGCACATGACCCTACTAGACGTATATCTCTGATTCCTGATGAAAGAGATCAAGAAATGATTAACCCTGTGAGTAACTCTATGGATAGAATTCCAGCTATACAGAGACTGAGCTTACCTATGGAGGAGGGCCAGCTATTACCAGTTAAAAGGAAACCTGGTAGGCCACCAGGTCAAGCCTCAGGCTTGAGCATCTTACAAAGTGGGCTGGGAACTAAGAAGATCAACTTGCTATTGTGTCCCCTCATGGACATGGAGGAGGAGGCTTACTACTGCTATGGAAGCATGAGATCAGGCTAGAAGTGATCTCATCTTGCAATAACTATTTTGATACCCATATATACTATGAAGGG